TTTGCTACATTATTCAAGTGTAATAGTTACTATACGATTTATGAAAGAATTAATGATGAGGTATTAGCTTAATAGGATATAGCATAGTATTAAAGTCCAATAACTAGATCATATAAAAATTAAAGTTTAGACATATGAAACATATGAATTATAGTAAAGTTTGGTAGTTTAAGAATAAGTTTTAACTGAGTTATAAGGCATTACATTAAATCATAATAGGTTAATAGTATAACTGACAGTTAAGTCATTTAACTAAACTTATAGATTATAGTATAGTGTTAAGTTGATAATATTAATTGTTAAAAATATTTGGAGTCAGTGAACTTGGATTGAACCTAGAGTTAACTCAGAAAAGTTTTTTTGTATTAATCAGGGTATAGAGCAAAGAGTATAATATGAATGATTCATTGAACATTATGGAAAACACTTTGAACGATTTGTATTGAAATTGTGCACCTGTGACCTTAATGTAAGCACGGCAGGCATCATGGAATTCGAATTGTTTGCTTGGAAATTGCAGATCTCGTGGTGGTCTTGTGATGCATAGTTTGTAAAGCACGAAACTTGTACGCCCCCAGTGAGTGATTATCACATTGCTGGAGGGTATAGAAAATGGTATATAAGTTGGAAAAGGTTCGAATAAAATTTGGCTCCAGTCCTGATCAGACTGTTCCCAGAAGAACTGCCTCCGAGTGGTCTTCTCGCCATCTCCTGATTCTCCGGTGCGGGTCCTAACCCACCCTTGGTCAGTGCTGGTCACCGACAGTCTCCCTCCTCCAATTCCCCCAATTCATATTACACCTGCAAAGCCACAACTAAACACCTTCCAGCCCAAGTTCTGTCTGCCCGAATATCAATTCTAGATAAATGGACCCAACGCTCAATGCCAGTAAGGAAGGACTAGCAGTAAGTGGCTCATTAAGGCAATGAAGGGTAGAGAAAATCCCAGCATCCCTGGGAGCTGTAAATCCACTCTGACGCAGCCCCTTCTTCTTGTAAGCTCCACAGGGCCCACCACCCGGCCTTGCCCAGGCTTACCAGCTGCCATGGTAGGAAGCATGCTGGACCTTTCTTCATCCATCACGAAAGACGAGTCTTCATAAAAAGTGCTGCAAATTGAAGGAGAAAAGGAAAAAGTTCTCAATAGTGGTTCTCCGCATCCATTAACCAGAGTTCCACCAGATGCCCCAGGGAAGATCCGTGCCTGGCCATCCCAGAAGGGATATGATATATCTGAGGTCTCTGCTGGTTTGAAGCTTCCGGTTAAAACAGAGGATTGAACATATACATCCCACAACTTCCTTGTTGGTCCCCTGAGACCACAAGTTTTGAAGTACTGAAATAGACATGATATGTAAATATATCTATAAAGCAGTAAAGTAGAAGAGGACAGATAAATGACTGCCACCAGGCAACGTCCCCAAGAGACAGACAGGAAGTCCAAGCTGGCTAACAAGGCTCACGTGATTTGGCTAATATAAGAAGAGACAATGTCAAAAATAAATTACAGAGCTCCACGGCTCTTTCACTCAGGGCACTCAGATATAATACCTTCTTGGGCCACAGACCCAAAAGCCTGAGTTATCCCTGGAAAGGGCGGAGAGGTTAAAAAGGTTCCACACATCTAAACTGCACTTGGGCTTGAGGAATCAGTGAAGCCTGTAGGGCCTGTCCAAGGTCATCAGCCAATACACAGCAGCCAGGGCTTCAAAGTAGGTCTCCTAAGTCCAGTCTCTAAGCTCTTTGTATGACTCCCTGATAAGTAATAGCAACCACATATCCTCAATGCCATGACTTCCCCACCAGGCCATAGAACTCTGAATTAATGGGGTCAGAACTCAATCCACTAAAGCCGAGTCGGTGATGACGTCATGCAGTAGAGAACTGGAAAAATTTGCTGCTGAAGTGACTGACTACAACCAACAGGGAGAAGAGTCACACTTCGTATACTTATCCAGAAAATGTCACTGGAAGTACAAACCACATGTTCAAGCTGACATTACGGCTATACCTCTGACTCCCAAAACTGTCATCCTTTATAAATCTCAGCCCGTTGCCATGTGTATAAATGAGTTTGGTTTACCCCACATCAAGTAAGCAAAGTGAAATGTGACTCAGGGAAGGTCAACTGACTCTTAACTGCTGGACTCACTTCAATTTATCATTTTTTGTTTGTTTGTTTGTTTTTTGAGTTGGAGTCTCACTCTGTCACCCAGACTGGAGTGCAGTGGCTGCTCCCGGCCTCTGCAGCCTCGACCTGCTAGGCTCCGGCGAGCCTTCCGCCTCAGCCTTCTAAGTAGCTGGAACTACAGGCGCGCACTACCACACCCAGCTAATTTTTTATTAATTGTAGAAATGAGGGCTCGCTAAGTTGCCCAGGCGGGTCTCGAACCCGCGGGCGGGCTCAAGCAATCCACTCACCTCAGCCTCCCAAAGCACTGGGATTACAGGCTGAGTCACCAAGCCCGGTTTTATCATTGTTAACTTCACTTTTGATACTGAGTATGTAACTCTGGTCTACCTGCAAATGATCTGTTGGAAAGAGCTTCACAAAAATTCGTTTTAAGAAATATGAGCACTTTAGGAGGAGGAAGAGAAAGGATCGCCTGAGCCCAGGGGTTCAAGACCAGCCTGGGCAACTTGGCAAGACATCATCTCTACAATAAATCAAAAAATTAGCCGGTTGTGGTGATGCACACCTGTAGTTCCAGTTGCTTGGAAGGCTGAGGTGGAAGGATCGCCTGAGTACAGCAGGTCGAGGTTGCGGTGGCTGTGAACATGCCACTGTACTCCAGTCTTAGCAACAGAGTGACTAAAAAAAAAAAAAAAAAAACATGAAGCTGGGCACAGTGGCTCATGCCTCTAATCTCAATACTTTGGGAGGCCAAGAGAGGAGGATTGCCTAAGCCCAGGAGTTAGAGACCAGCCTAGGCAATATAGCAAGACCTCGTCTCCACAAAAAAAATTAAAAAATGAGCCAGGCTTGGTGGCCCATGTCTATGGTCCTAGCTATTCGGGAGGCTGAGGCAGGAGAATCACCTAAGACCAGGAGGTGGAGGCTATGGTGAGCTTTGATTATGCCGTTGCACTCCAGCCTGGGCATCGGAGTGAGACCTCAATTGAAAAAAATTAGAAAATAAACAAACATGAACATGTTCTCCTCAACTAAAGTCGGTCAGTATTCCAGAGGTACATACATTCTCCACCCCAACTCTGACTCTGAGCAGCACACAGGAACAGTCAGTGTGAGTCGTCCTAGCTCCCCAGTCCTCTGACATGAGACCCACAGAGTCTCACTATACTACTAAATAAGGCACCACAGGCAACAAAGAACTTTGCCTGTGACAGAATATTTTAGGAGCCTTAATGCACAATCCCAGAACCCCTTAGAAATTACAGGCTGAGAGGGCACCTGACCCAAGTAACACATGGCAAAACGTGAAGTCAAGGGAAGGCATCACGGTACTGATGAAATGCCAGCTTCTTGAATTAAATGAGATTTCACCATTGAGGATCAGGGCATTGCTGATGTGGAAGTTATTCAAGGAGCCAGAGCAGGGTCAATCACTGTCCCTTTGTATTATCAGGGGACACAGAAAGACATGTCAAGTCCACAATTCTCAGAGGGAAAATAAGAGCCAGAGACAGAGGGATCATAAACATTATGAGTATAAGAAATGACAGAGCCCAGGCTTGGTGGCTCAGCCTGTAATCCCACGCCTTTGGGAGGCTGAGGTGAGTGGATTGCCTGAGCCCGCGGGTTTGAGACCCGCCTGGACAGGCGAGACCTCATCTCTACAGTAAAGTAAAAAAATTAGCCGGGCGTGGTAGCGCACGCCTGTAATTCCCGCTACTCGGAAAGCTGAGGCGGAAGGATCGCCGGAGCCCAGCAGGTCGAGGCTGTGGTGGCCACGAGCGGCCACTACACTCCGGTCTGGGAGACAGAGTGAGACTCCAACTCAAAAAAAAAAAAAAAAAGAAATGACAGAGCCAGAAGCAGTGGCTCACACCTATAATCCCAGCAGTTTGGGAGGCCAAGGTGGGAGAATTGCTTGAACCCAAGAGTTGAGACTAGCCTGGGCAACATAGTAAGATCTCACCTCTACAAAAAAAAAAAATAGTCAGGTGTAGTGGCACACACCTGTGGTCTCAGTACTTGAGAGGCCTAAGGTAGGAGGATCACCTGAGACCAGGAGGTCAAGGCAGTGGTAAGCCATGATCATAACCCTGCACTCTAGCCTGGGCAACAGAGCGAGACCCCAAACCCCTCCCACACTACCCCCCAAAAAATCACAAGCAAAAAAATGGAGATTTTAATAAAAACAAATCACTTCTTTCCCCAACTTAAAACTTCCTTGGTTTCTTGGGGTTTTTTCAGTCAGTTGAGGATTGAGTGAATGAAAGAATCCCAAATTAAAATTTCACAAGGTGAAGAGCAAACTGTGTCTTAAGACAACAGTTCTCCCCATACTCAGGCCTCAAGGATAATAAATACTGATTGGGCCAGGCACAGCAGCTCAAACCTATAATACTAGCACTTTAGGAAGCCGAGGTGACCAGTCTGGGCAACTTAGTGAGACCTCGTCTCTACAATAAATAAACAAAAAAATTAGCTGGGCATGGTGGTGCAGGCCTGCAGTTCCAGCTACTTGGAAGGCTGAGGTGGAAGGATCACCTGGGCCCAGCAGATTGAGGCTCCAGTGGCCATTAGTGTGCCACTGCACTCCAGCCTGGGCAACAGGGTAAGACTCTGACTCAAAAAAACAAAAACAAAAAAACACTGAGTGCTGGCTGTATGCTAGGCCCCTCACAGACCACAGCACAGCTGAACACACTGGAACAGTGAAGTCCGGTTGCCCCAGATGGAGGGCTGCCAATCCAAGAGGTCTGACTGCTGCCTCCGCAGATCTCTGTCCCTCGGTTCAGCCCGTCCCAGGGCCCTCCCCACCGGTACCTGAGCCTGCAGCGGTCGGCCAGCAGCATGTGCAGGTAGCGCTCCAGGGAGTGCTCGTTGAGGGCGCAGCGCAGCCAGGCACGGCCACGGCCCACGTCTGAGGTGATATGACGCAGGGAGTAGAAGCGCTGCAGCTCGTGCCTGTTGAGGACCTCCTTCACATAGAACCAGAACACGGGCTCTGCAGAGAGAAGGCATGGCATCATGCTGCTGCAACACTTGTGCAACAGGGGAACTGGCCCCAGGCTACCAGAAGCCACCAGGTAGGTTGTCTTCCCTTAGCACAGAAAAGGTGGGAGATACAGAGTAGTGTATCAAAAATGGCAATGACTACTGGGCATGATGGCTCATGTCTGTAATCCCAGCACTTTGGGAGACTAAGGCGAGAGGACCACTTGAGTTCAAAAGTTTGAGACCAGCCTGGGCGACAGAATGAGACTCTGACTCAAAAAAATGAAAAATAAAACCTCTAAAGCCTCTCATCTGAAATGAACGATGCTAACATCTTCAAGAATTTCCTTCCAGTCTTTTTCACTGTACTTTTCTCTTTTTTTTAAACTTTTAAATTTTTTTATTTTAAAATTGTGGGGTACAATTCAAGGTTAAGTATACAAATATTCATTGTGCAGGTACCCTTGTTGATGAGGTGTGCCACCCCCCCACTTCCCCAGGCAGATTTCCACTACTGTCAATCCTACCTCCCTGCAGTTTCCCTCTACTATCAATCCTTTTCTTATAGTATTATGATGGTTGTTCAAAGTCCACTTATGAGTGAGAATGTGTGATACTCAGTTCTTTGCTTCTGTGAAAGATCACTCAGTATTATAGACTCTAATTCCTTCCAGGTTGCTGCGAAGTTCATGATTTTGTTCTTCTTTATGACTGTATAATATTCCATTCTGTATATGTACCATATTTTTTTAAAGCAGTCCTCTTTTGATGAGCATCACAGTTGGTTCCATGTTCTTGCTATTGCATTGCACTTTCTTTTTTAAACAAAATCAACATTTGTGGTAAGTTGAATTATGACCTTCAAAGATATCCACCTCCTAATCTCTGGAACCTGTAATATTACCTTACACAGCAGAAGAGTCTTGCGACTGTTATGAGTTAAAGATCTGGAGATGGGGAAATTACCCTGGGCAATCCCTGTGGGGCTGAAACAATCACAAGCATCTTTATAAGAAGGAGCAGAGACGGATTTGACACTGAAGAGGAGAAGATGCTGTGACCAGAGAAGCAAAGATAACAATGATACGGCCATAGCCACAGAATCCCAGCAGCAACTAGAAGCTGGTAGAGGCAAGAAATGGATTCTGCCTGGAGCCTCCAGAAGGATCCAGCCCTGCCGTAGTTTTGACTTTAGCCCAGTGAAACTGATTTGGACTCCAGGCCTCCAAAACTGTAGGAGAATAAATCTGTACTGCTTAAAAGACACCAACTTTGTGTTAATTTGTTACAACAGCCATAAGAAAATAATACATCATGTTATATGAGTGTATATGGGCATATATATTATATAATACGTAATATAATTATATATATAATTTTGGCTCCTGATTCATTTATTCTCTTGTCTAGATCATGAACATCTTCCTGTTACAATAAGTTTTTGAAATACGATTCTTGAGGCTTCTCAGGGAAACATAATTTAACTATTTCTCTGCTACCAAAGACATGATACATTGCCGATTTCTCTTCTGTATGACAAAGAGTATCCTTTAAAAAAATATAGTCTTGCTATATCATCCAAGCTGGTCTCGAATTCCTAGACTCAAGCGATCCTCCCCTCTCAGCCTCCTGAAAAGCTGGGACCACAAGCACGCACCACCACATCTGGCCAAGAACATCCCTAAATATAAATAACTGTCTTCATTTCTAACGCCTTAGGAAAGATTTCTATACACTGGATTACTAGGCCTGAAGATAGGAACAGATGTAAGGCTTTAAGGGAACCCTAAGGAAGTATGTTTTCAATCCATGACTGTCATTCTTACAACTACTTGTATCTCCTCACATCCCACCTTTCTTATCTACATGCACACAGATTTTCTCAGAGCTATAATTCTAGTGTATAACTAAGTTTGTGATCAATTATCTGCACTTAACATTGGCTCATCAATACTTTTTCATGCCATCAATAACAATTACAACAGCAACAGAAGCTACTGTGTACTGAACATTAACTATGCACTAGCCATTGCAATAAACATTTAACATCTGACTTTGTAACAGTCAATCCAATTCCATGTCAGAGACAAGCTCCAAGGCCTGGACGAAGGAATTGACTTGCCCAACAACAGCTAGTAGCCAGTACAGCAAAAAGGGGCCTCAGAGCTCACCACAAACCACCAACTCACACTGCCCTGCAAAGTGTACCTTCTTCAAAACAACCGTGCTAGCTAGATGCCTATAATCCCAGCACTTTGGGAGGTGGAGACAAGAGGATTGCCTGAGTCCAAGGGTTCAAGACAAGCCTGGGCAACTTGGTGAGACCTCATCTCTACAATAAATTTAAAAATTAGCCAGGTGGAACAAGTCTGTGATTCCAGTTACTTGGAAGGCTGAGGTAGAAAGATTGCCTGAGCCTAGCACATTGAGGCTATGGTGGCCATGAGTATGCTACTGCCCTCCAGTCTGGGCAGAGTGAGATTCTAACACACACACAAAAAAAGAAAAAGACCAGGTTCACAACTACATAATATTCCAGTAGGAAAGCTGGGTCTCTGTGGCCAGACCTGACTTTCAATGCAGGAACTAAACAGGATCACAGACCCCTGTGAAATGTGACAGTCTTTGAATCTTCCATCCAGAAGAATGAAAATAAAAACATCTCCAGAAATTAGACAGCAAGTTAATAAGTTCATGCTTAAATTTCAAGTCAACATATCTAAGATTGACTACATTCTTTCTGCGAGCCATGAATAGAGACAGGCTATGGACTACCAGATAGACACAACAAGGACCCCTGAGGGGCTTCCAGTCTAGTGGGCAGAACAAACCGGTGAAGAGCTCAACCAAATGACCCTGCGCACGTCACTCAACCATGCCAAGTCTCAGATTCCTGGTCCATAAAATAAACCCAGAAGTACAGAATGGCCCAGGGCTATTGGAGTAACTGCAAAAGGCAGGGAAAGCACTGAGCTTAGTGCCCAGTCCAGGCAGACCAACCATTTGCTTAATAACTGCCTTCTCAGCAGAAGCATCTGTGTGGCCATCTCTTTTCCTTTCTGTGTATATGTATGCATGAGTGCTCATACATACTTGTGGATCAAGCCAACCTTTGCGATCATTTAGAATAAACTTCCCAGGAATGACTGAAAAAGCCCAACAGGGCAGTTCACTCAGGACTATTTTCGGTCTCATTCCCTTCCAAACTAATTCTCTTCCAAAACTGATCAGATCAGTTTAAACCACACAACTGTGCAAAACAGCCCTCTCTCTTTGCACAGAAATCAGCACGGGGAGAAGTCGGCAACAGCAATGCCCTGGACCAGCCTGCCAACAGCGTCTTCTGAAACACCCCAGACAATCATTCTAATCTCCATCACATTTCACATCCAATGACTCTCACCTGCACCCTCTTTCCTTTCATGAAAAATGCAGCAACCTCCCTCTGACCTTGAAAGCATATGAATACTTTACGGTATGTTTTCACCTTTCAGTTTTGCAAATTGCATACTGCTACAGAATCCTTTTAAAGCTTGTCAAGGCGATGCAGATGATGATGAGAATTATCCCAGTAGGGTTCCACTTTCACTGCCAGAATTAATGTGGTCTATTTAAAGTGCAGCTCATCTGCCAATTAGCGCATGCGGTGTCTGTAATTTAATTTGGGAACATATACTGATCTGCTTCAAAACACGAGCTTCCAAAAGTAGGCAAGGGTGTCTGGTTCTCCAAACACCTGAAAGTCAACTGCCAAGAACAAGTGCCAGGGAGAGGTGCAGAGAAGTGCTACCCTGGGCACTAGTGAATGGACAACACCCAACAGCACTGGGCTTTTGGCAAAGTTTCTACCAAGCCTCAACTTTCATCCACACCAAGAATTCATGTCTTGGAGACCATGAGGAAGACAAAAGGCTTGGCTGAAATACTAGTTCAGGCATTATGGGACCTTGGGCACCTTATTTTGTCCTCTATTTTCCTCATCTGTATGGCAGGGAGAACAATACCTACACCTCTAAGGATAGCTGAGGAAAAAATGAGAAATAAGAATATATGTAAATACAGTCAATGAATGCTAGCCAAAATGATGAACAACCCAGCACATAATAGGTACTCACTGAAAACCAGCTAGTAATATAATTACTGCACTTGCACCAAACATCCAGGCACTAAGGCAGGCAAACAGTATTCCTTTCATCATCATCATCATCATTTTTTTTTTTCTTTTTGAGTTGGAGTCTCACTCTGTCGCCCAGGCAGGAAGTGCAATGGCATGCTGACAGCCACCGCAGTCTTGACCTACTGGGCTCAGGTGATCCTTCTGTGTCAGCCTTCCAAGTAGCTGGAACTATAGGCACACACCACCATGCCAGGCTAATTTATTTATTTATTGTAGAGATGAGGTCTCACCAAGTTGCCCAGGCTGGTCACAAACCTGTGGGCTCAGGCAATCCTCTCACCTCAGCCTCCCAAAGTGCTGGGATTATAGGCATTAGCCACCGCACCCGGCTTCTTCTTCTTCTTCTTCTTCTTCTTATTATTATTATTATTATTATTATTATTATTACTCTGAGTTGGAGTCTCACTCTGTTGCCCAGGCTGGAGTGCTTATTATTATTATTACTCTGAGTTGGAGTCTCACTCTGTTGCCCAGGCTGGAGTGCAGCAGCACACTCATGGCCACCGCAGCCTCAACCTGCTGGGCTCAGACAGTGCTTCTGCCTCATCCTTCCAAGTAGCTGGAACTACACGTACCACCACGCATGGCTAATTTTTTTATTTATTCTAGAGATGAGGTCTTGTCAAATTGCCCAGGCTGGTCTCGAACCCATGGACTCGGACAATTCTCTCACCTCGGCCTCCCAAAGTCCTGGGATTATAGGCGTGAGCCACCGTGTCAGACCTATTTGGTTTTTTGTTTGCTTGTTTGTTTGTTTGAGTTGGAGTCTCACTCTGTCACCCAGATTGGAGTGCAGTGGCCGCTCCCGGCCCACCTGCTGTGCTGCGGCAATC